TACATACATACATAGAATAAAGTGGGCGGTACAAAATTATAGATGAAATAAGATTATAAATACATTACATTTTATTTACTTATTACATATATTTAACAGTTACATCCTTGATTAAATAACATAAGAATAGAAACATAAATATAAATAAATTATAAAATACGACTATAAAATCGTTCGCAGTAAAGTTTTTCGATGTAACGTAACATCGCAGTAACAAGGCATCGATATAACAAGGCGTCGCAGTATAATAACTTCGCAGAAAGGTTTTCGAAGAAACAAAATTCGATGTAACGTTTGTCGCACTCACGTAGGTAACCCAAAAAAAGTATACGTAACACTTCAGGCGTTCAGGGTGAAGATACATTAACAGCAGATGTTCTTCTTTTCAAATAAGTTGGAAAACAAACGGTAGATGCTGGTCTAGGGTTTAATTAAAGAGATACCTATACACAAATAATATTTCAGTGTTGCTTTGAATTTATATCACTTGTAGCAGAAAAGTCATAATCATTAGCTTGAAACTCATAATTCTCATAAATGAAAGATATTCGGGCGTTGATTCCAGATCCTCCTTCGCGACTCGGACGCAGCGCCGTCACCGCCGGGCCCCGCCGGCGAGCAGTGTGCGCAGCTGGCGTGCCGCACGCCGCACCGCGCCGGGTTCTACTACGCCGGGCCCGCGCTGCCCGGGACGCCTTGCGGGAATCAGAAGGTTAGATCTGTATGTAAAAAAAAAAGATTTCAGACATGTGGGCTAGACAAGAAAATATATTTTCTTCAAGTGCTCATGAAACGACGAGTTGGTACAATAAACTAATGCAAATTCACCTTTCATCACAATTGCTAACATACAATTTTGTACGTGTGTTGCGCTATCTTCAAAATATTTAATCACTCTATGATCAGATCTTGTACCAGATTCGTAGAGAAAAGTAGGTAGTTCAGTAGGCCTAAGATGCGCGCCGTGATAACTTTCATCGACGTCAAAATGTATGGGCAAAATCGATAAAATGGCGTGATAACCGCTTATCGCGGCGCGCATCTTAGGTCTACTGGTGGTTTTTTTTACACTGTCACAAGTTTGAGGTCGTCTTCCATCCACGATACAACTATCAGGTGTAACCTGAGGTCTAAGTTATTTTCCATCACATCATCTGCACCTGCTTCCAGTGGTGTCAAGGTGGAGAGTGCGTCCCCGCCGGAGCCGGTCCTACGACCAGCCCAGCCCCTAGACCGGAGGAGGGAGCAGGGGAAGCGGGGGAGGGTGGCTGGGGCACCTGGCGAGAGGCAGTCTGCCGCTCGGGCTGCACGGCGCGTGCGCGTGGCTTTCGTGAGAGGCGCCGCATGTGTTCGTTAGCTGAGGGCTGCAGCGGCACCGGGTATGATGTCGTGCTCTGCGATGATTCCAAGGTAAGATAAAAACCTTAGCTAAACGAGGAACTTCAACTATCCCTTGGTTTGACTTTGATACAGATAGAGCTGATACAACTTCCATACCTACATGATGAATGATATCCTATCTACTTCGGCCCATTTGAAGACGTAATTATTAAGAGGAATGAATAAAGGCGCTACTATGTAACAACCGTTTCCACTTTCCACTTATCAAAAGCGCCGTAAGACTACGGCTCGTGTCCCCTTAGAAAATTATTGCCACGAAAACATTGTCCATTTAAATACCAGCCATTACCAGGTCGGCTGGTGTCAGGTTTAAAATTACCTATTGTTTTCAGAATTGATTTCACCATATTATCAGAGTCACCGTAATCAACGCTAAATTTTGTCAGTGTGTGCGTGCGCGCCGCATACGTATTGGCGCGCTCCCATACAAATCGCGCTCGGGCGTTTCTATGAAGATGACCTACGCATTTGTATTTACTCTGATATTATGAACTTTATTAAAATGAAATAAGTTGAATGGACAACGTGAAATATATTTTTCAATGCCAGTTAAAGAGAACAACATTATAAACATTCTTCGCAGGTGTGCGGCAAGAAGACGCGCGTGACCGCGGGCGAGTTGGCCAGCCGCAAGTGCGCGGAGTTCGCGGCGCGAGTACCGGCGCTGGACGCGCGCGCAGGCGGCCTGCAGGCGCCGCACGACCCTAGTGAGCTCACCATAACCAGCCTTTATTTAACCTCTACAGGGAGGCCAAGAAGCTAGGGTTGCCTTCTCTAAAAGGCAACAGAGCGCGAAACATGAACTCTTCTTAGGCCCGGTTTTTTGATTCGTAGTTAAAATAACCAATGGTCAAATTTGAAAGATGTCAAATGACAAGTGATTAAATATCAGAAAAAATGTTTTTCGAACAATGGTTAGCTTGACTTTTAGTACATTTTTTAACTAATTGTTTACATTTTGTTAATATTTAACCATTAGTAGCAAAATTTTACAATTAGTTATTTTAACTATGAATTAAAAAACTGGGCCTTATTCTTCTCCCTTTTTTGTCAGCTNCGCCAGCAGCTACGACATTAATATCGTAGTAGTAGTGTCGCGTCGTAGAAGTGAGCATTGAAAACATGAACCAACTTGCTTTTTTTTATCGCCAACAGCTACGATATTTCTATCGTAGCAGTTAGTAGTGTAGCAGTAGCTACGAAAACAAACTCCTTGCTCCATTTTTTCGCCAGCAGCTACGATACTGTCGTAGTAGTAGTAGTAGTAGTGTCGTAGCAGTAGCTACGTGAGCTATGAAAACAAACTTGCTCCATTTATTCTTCAGTGGCTACGACATTTTTATCGTAGCAGTGGGAGTGTCGTAGCAGTAGCTACGTGAGCTACGAAAACAAACTTGCTCCATTTATTCTTCAGTGGCTACGACATTTTTATCGTAGCAGTGGGAGTGTCGTAGCAGTAGCTACGTGAGCTACGAAAAAAAACTTGCTCCATTTTTCGTCAGCAGCTACTACATTTCTATCGTAGCAGTAGCAGTAGTGGGTCGTAGAAGTAGCTACTTGAGCTACGAAAACAAACTCCTTGCTCCATTTCTATCGTAGCAGTAGTAGTAGTGTCGTAGCAGTAGCTACGTGAGCTACGAAAACAAACTTCCTTGCTCCATTTTTTCGATAAAAGCTATGACTTTTCTATCGTAGCAGTAGCAGTGTCGTAGTTGTAGCTCCGTGAGCTACGAAAACTTGAATTTGCTTCATTTTTTTCGTCAGCAGCTACGATTTTTCTGCCGTAGCAGCAGTAGTGTCGTAGTAGTAGTTACGTTACGAAAATATGAACTTTATTTGTGCTTTTCGTAGCAGACTACGAAATATAACTACGACATTGGAATGCACGATTTAACTGGATTTAATTTGTCGTTAATCAATTCAATATTATTATCTTCTTCTAATAAGTTCTACTGAAAAGAGCGAATAAGGAATTCAAGTCATTATTCGTAGATGGATGCAAACATATCCATGGTCCTCGCTAGTAGACTGCGAATGTTACAAAACAATAAGGCAGACTAATATTATTATTAACACCTAACTACAAGGTATGGTAGGTATAAATAATTTGAATTTGAATTTGAATTATGGCTGTAGTAATTTTTATTTTATTGCAACGTGAATGGTAAGATCACCGTGATAGTTCAGTCTATTTTTGTCATATTTTTTGTACCAAAATTGTCAGTCACTATTTTACGCAGACAGTTCAAAAACTACATTTCCATTCCACATTTGTTCCCCATAGCTTTCTTCCGTTCTGCGACTCTTGATCACACTTTAGGAGGCAGCCACACTTGTGTTGTTTCAGCGCGCATGTGGATGGGTTGCGCGGTGTTCTGCCGGCGCGCGGCGGGCGGAGGCTTCTACGCGCCACGAGTGGAGCTCAACGACGCTGGTCTCGACCCCTACTTTCCCGATGGAACCTGGTGCCACCATGATGGCACGCAGGACTACTACTGTCTGCAACACCACTGCTTGCCGGAGGTACGGTTAGGAGCCGATGTGTGGCCACCTTAAAGCTTTTATTTCGTTGCAGCAACCAGTTGTGTTGCAAGAAAAGCCAACAAATGTCAAGTACGGACGACAGCAAATACTGCAGTATCTTAAATACATAATAAGTAGGTAATTGTCAACTGTTATTGTAGTTAATTTTCTACAGACTGAGTTATCAGTTGTACTTCCATTGATTTGCACATGCTGAAAGTTGTATACAAACACATTTCTCGACTATTATAGGTAGTTCCTGGCAGGGTTCGAAAATATCCTTATGATATATGTATATCGGATATATATCATAAATATCGGATATTTTCGAACCTTGGTTCCTGGTGATAACATGATCACACCCCAGGATTGCTTCAGCTTCTTTAACAATGCATAAACTAAACCAAGCTTTCCTTACTCACATCTTCCAGAAGTAGGTATACCTATTGTCTTCTACACCTAGAATATTTAAAGAAACTACGAGTACTTTATCTTCAACTGCTGTCAAACATCACCCAGTATCAAGCGTTCCTACAGTAAATAACATACAAGCGCCTATGAGAATAATGACGACAAAATATTCAAGTCCGACCGCATGTCATGCCGCATGTACGCTTTAATCCTGTTTAATGCCTATTTGCCTAACACTAGTGCAGTATTATGAGAATAGTCATTTATAATTTTAATTACCTACTTAGGTACATGGTAATAAAATACCTGCTAGTAATTTAATGAATGACAATAAATATCAGTAGCGTATACATAACAGTGTGATTTAATATGAGGATGTTTTGTGGCATGTTGAATGGTGCGTTCGCTTTATCAACGTTGTATGGAATGTCTCAGATTTGACTCATGTGGGTTATTCACATAGGTCCACGACTCTATTATTCTTCTTTTCCCACTAGGGTACATTAAATTTTAAAATATTCATGTATGAATTCTCAATGGGTCGGTTCACCACAATATTGCAGCGGCGGCGGGATTCGAACCAGCGTTCCTTGGATCATGAGTCGGCCAGTCCGACACCTTCACCGTTGGGTTATTGTCGCCTTCACCAAATGCATGTATGTAGTCACAGAAAAAGCTTTTGAAAGCTTGGCTAATCTGATTTTTTTTAATGATAAAGTATAACTTAAGTTAAATAATAAGATCCTAATTGATTTTGCCACAATATTACACAGTTTGAGAACCAATTGATGCTAGAGTTGGATAGGCACAATTTATCATCCTGAGGTAGGTGTCGTAAAATGATAAGCCGGTGCGAACGTCAAATCCTATTGTTTGTCAACACTAGCGTCATCTCACGTGTTCTCTCCATTCCATCAAAATAAATTACATAAACTTCTTTACTGCGGATAAATTATATAAAATATTTTTTGAACTAGGTAGGTAGGGGTAGGGATAACACTACTCTACGAGTATATCACCACATACCACACAAAACGGACGATTATAAAAATTAGAACGGCACACTTTATGCGGTCTTATCTCTAGGAAGCGATCTCTTCCGGACCCGGGGAGGAGATAATCTTGTTAATTGTAAAGCAATAAACCCTTTTTGGTTTGTATCATTAATAGTATTATTTTGTTCTATGCTAGCTAACAAGCGACCTTTTCAATGATTAAACCATGGATTTTCATCGTATCGTGCTTAGATATCATAATTTCAGTTTCAGTATGTACCTACTCGTCTCACTATTTTATGATGAGACTCGTAACTTATCCACGTCATGCGTCACCCAGCGCATCGGATCAACTATAAACCGCTCGCTAATTTGTCACAATTTATCTAGACATTTTAAAATGTTGCTACATGTCAAATATTTTTCTTTGTGAAAACATGACGTGTAAAGTGTTGGTTTACTTTGATAGTGCGATTAATAAACAAACTGTACGCAAAGCATAAGCACACTGATTTATCATGCTTGTGTCTTACTATCTACTTTATTAATTACTTTCCAGCTTGATTAAGTTTTGCTCTTTATTTTTAGCCAGCTTGTAAACAAATAACATCTCTTTATGGTGGTTATTAACTTCATGTATTTTTAAAATTTTGTTTTTTGCCAGTATATTACATTTTATGGCTTTAAAGATAAAACCACCTACAACCTTACTTTAATCAAGGTTTCTTGTGGTTGCTGTTTGATACGTATCCGACGGAAGTCGTCGTTGGATTGTGTAGTATCATATTAATTGCGGTTAATAACTATTGCTATTGTTGATACAACAAGCTTGTGGTCATAGATAGATGAATCTTCTTCATAGAAAGAAATCACTAAACTGCATTGATACTAATTATTATTTATGTTAAGTAAGTATTTCGAATATACTATTCTTAAACATCATTAGTAATTTCTGTTTAATCACTTCAATATTATGTGCTCAACATATTATTATTTGTAGAAAAGTTAGTAAAGAGATAGGTACTTAGTTAATGTTTCTTTGACATAAGTAGGGTTCAACCTTTGACACTAATTTGTCTTATTGTCACCAAGTCGGTTAATACAAATAATGAGCTTAAGTGGTAGAGATAGGCGCAGTTATGAAAATATTTTTCTTAACTTTGTTTCTAACTTTTATTTGGTGGATATCCCCTAATTTACTAAGTACACCTACTTAGATAATAAAATGTAACATTTACTATACCTACCTATACGTTTAAAACAATATACATAATTGTGTACAATTAAGACAAAGTTTAGAGTACTTGCCTATCTACATAACATAAATACTAATCAGTGTGTAATTACTAACGCTGCTCAATTAAGCCAGTTTCAATCAGAAATGGAATTGGTACTATTGTCGAAAAACATTTTATTACAATTTCATTAGATATCTATGTGGTGTTGCTTATAAGGTGTTTTCATTAGCTAATTGGTAGGTGCGCCACTTGTAAATTGAACTAAACGTACGAAAAGATTTACCTACTTACTAGTTCGTTTCAATAATATTGATTATTATTATTAGTAGTATTATTAGTATTAAATTCTTTGTATTAAATTCTTTAATAAATTACCACAAACTGTTGTAGAACTACCCATTCATAAATTCAAAGCACATATTAAAAGTACCTCAATGAAAAAGGGCTACTATAAAGTCGATGATTATTTAAAAGATAAAAATGTTTGGGATACGTTACCTTAGATTAATAAAACCTAGATAGATAGTCAGTGCACGAAAGGTGAGGCAGATTTTAGTAAGCCAGAATGGCTTACTCGTAAACGTCACATGAACTNACGATTAAGACAAAGTTTAGAATACTACAAAACATAAATACTAATCAGTATGTAAAATTACCAATGCTGCTCAATTAAGCCAGTTTCAATCAGAAATGGAATAAGTAATTTCAGTTTATCGAAAAACATTTTATTACAATTTCATTAGATATCTATGCGGTGTTGCTTAATAAGGTGTTTTCATTAGCTAATTGCTAGGTGCGCCACTTGTAAATTTAACTAAACGTACGAAAAGATTTACCTACTTACTAGTTCGTTTCATTATTGATGTCGAAATACGGACGCTTCTACCTGATACATTTCAGTATAGAATTTGAATCTAAGTTATTTTATTAGATAAGTTTTTCAAGAGGTCTTTGCATTGATTTATAAGGTGCCGATAATTTTTTTCTATACATACTAATACCGAAAGTATTTTTATACTTAATTCACAAATCAATCGAGATTGTTGATCTGTTGCAGGAAATATTCGAGAGTTTTGTCACAATTTTGCATTATCATTCGTACTATCACTACTCTACCTATCAGTAATTTAGTCACTGTTGTTCACAGAATTTCAAAATGACTGCTCAGTGGCATATCTGGGAGCTGCCGAGCGAAGATATCGGTGGAGCTTTTAACGCGCGGGCCTTCCAGACGCCTGATGAGGAGACAGCGGCTAAGATCAAAGCATACCTTTCGCTAGACGATGGGGGGGTGCCCCTCGTCCGGTCAGCCTTCCCCCCGCACCTCCCTGAAGAGCCCGAAGATAACTGGGAGGTCAAAGACTACGTGGACATACCACCAGCCCCCGAGAGTGACTCACAACCTCACATGTAGATATCAAGGGTTTGTCTTCCACTCGAGTAAGCTCGGCCGATAAGACATGTTATTGTCTTTTGTGTATTTTGCTATTAAAGTCTTGCCATTAAGTAAATAAGTACTTAGTTGTAATACATTGTATAATTCAGTATTATTTTGTTTATACAAACGAACACTGCAGGTGTATTTTTTGCAAACTACTTTACGCATTTTTTCGTTCAAACATTTACATGATTGTACTGAAATATTGATATAGTTCAGCCTACTGCATTTATTAGTTAAGAAGTATAGAGGGGTATGATTTGTATTAAGAAGGCGTTTTTGTACTTAATTATTGTTTTAGCCAGTATTAAATAGATTATGAAATAAAACCAGAATACCTACATAATAGCTGTAAATTAAAGGCGAAGACAATTAAATATTAATTTACTACTTGGTGATTTCGTATGTTCTCAAGTTCTGTGAATATTGTATGATTTAATAGAGATAATATTTTCATGATATTAGTCATTACATATATGCTTCACTAATGCAATCATTGTACTTTTATCTCGTATTTTGTATCGTGTTGATACTCGTATCACTTCTTATTTTACATGAAGTGGTTAGTTGTTACAATGCACTAAGTTACAATCATAGAAGATAACATAAAAGGCTAGTCGTAATGATAGGTGATTATTACGTTTTATAGAACAATTTATTAGTTTTTTTATTAGTTAAGTAAGTGCCTAATTAGCATAAGTACAATATGAATATTTTATAGATACCTACAACTACATACAGTATTATATTATCTAGACTTAAAAACATGGTGCATTTAATTATAAATAAATATATCATTTTATTTATGTATTTTAAAATGTGTTTGATTACAATTGTTAGTCCCTATTGTTAATTGATATTGACATTCGAGATAATAGAAAGAATACGAGTACTAAATACAAACGAAACGAAAATTATGTACAGTACATATATTACTTTAATTAATTAGTTCATTAATTTATTAATTGTCGTTACCGGATAAATTTTTAACTGTAGAATAATTTTTGAAAATTTATTTTCGTTATTTTATTCCATACACAGCCGTTAAATGGGTAAGTAGGTACCTATTTTTATGGAGTCCCATTCGAATCAAATAACAATCAGCGAGGTTCAACTTTTGCTTATAAACAAAGCAAATTATGAATGCTATGGGATCTTGATGGAGGACTAATGCTCTATATCAAGCTATATATGAAAAAGCAGGCACATTGTTTTCTGTATGAGTTTTATTGTTTTCCGTGGCACGATTGTAAATGATTGTGATTTGCTTAAAATGGCTAAAGTACATAAGCATAGGTACTTAATCACGCGTTATAGAAGTAAGTAGAGAATACAATAGCACTTCCTTTGTATCGTAATGTATGTTAAGTGATAGACTGGCACCGTGCTTCGCATACATGATGTGTGAGTTATCACACTTACGATAAATAATGACATCCACGGTACGCCAGATTTTTCCATGTATATACCCAGCTATCTAAATAACCCACGATTGACAGACCAAGAGCCGCTTGGAATAAGAAATGTACATGTAACGTATTATGGAGGGAATAAATTACTGATAAATAGATGGCAACTTCAATCTTTAAATTAGCACTTACCATGAACCAAAGTAGCGGAAATAAATAGTTATGTATACGCTTGTTAAATTCTAAACTGATTGACCAGATTTTTTTTAAACTACGATGATAAATACAGAAGAAATTTCTACTTTGTATTTTTATTCGGAAAGTAGCTTTTACCATTAAAAACTATCTAATTAGTAAGTAACGATAAGATATAAAAGTATAGGTATTTCCGCCGATGTCGTTTCATAGAGTAAATACCTAGGCAATAAGCTCGACTACGAGACTGAAAATTCGTAGTCGTAATCGACTCGTAGATATAATATGATGAGGATCTTACCTACCATATTTGAAGTATTTTACATCTTCGTAGATAGTAGTAATAAAACCTACTCTATTTATAAACATGTAGTTACATTTTATTTCTTTACTAAACATATTTTGGTGGCTCTACATTAAGAGATTGAGGGTCGATTTAAATTCTTGATCAATTTAGTATGAAATAAATGTTTATGTCTGAATATTATTTGAAACTGGAATAGATGAGTTCGGTTATTTTAAGTGAACCAGTGACCAGATTTAAAAAAAATCTCACGTCTCATCGTAATAATGAATTTGGAAATAGGAGATATGGACATTACTTATCTGCCTATCTATGTATATTATAATTTTGAGGTCTAGTAATTAAGATATAATTAATGACAATGACCAATGTCTATTTACAATTAAATGTGTATAGTCCCGTACGGCTAGCACGAAAAACTTTCGAGTTCGAATCGTTTGCGTATTCGACAAAATTCGATACTCAATCTTCGAATTTAACGATAACGTGACAATTTTGATTCTCACAATAAGTTTTGTGCAACCATTTCTCATACTAAGTTCACTTTACGACACGTTCACAAGGGCTCTGTTGTAGTTTTCGTACTAAATCTTTTGATGGCGATTCGAAGACGCAAACGATTCGAACTCGAAAGTTTTTCGTGCTAGCTGTACCGTTCGCTTCAGTTTACATATACCTATTTAGTAATTTTGTCAAATATACATATTATCTACTGTTATGTGTGTATACAATTCAGTGTCAATTTTATACAGATTGATTTGTTAGCAAGATTGCTTAAAACTATTTCATTTATTTGCGCGGACTGGAACTAGGTACCTAGGTTACCCATACAAACTTCTATCATTCAATGAGCCCGCGTTTGTCAAATGATTTGAATCAAAGCATATCATACATATTTTTTCCCATCTCATGAACAGACGTGCAAAAAAAGAATTGCTTTTCAATTTAAACTACTTAACAGTTCGGTTCGCTCTATTATTTGGGGTACATTGGGCAGATGCCTATCAATTTAAACTACTTATCAGCTCTATTATTTGCTGAACATTAGGCAGATTTACGTCTCACATTGCATCCTCACATGTTCCTATGCTATTTTTATTTCATCTTCATTCCTTACTAATTTTATTTTATGCCTACTGACCTCAGCAATAAAAGCAGACCACTCTTAAAAATGCAAATGGTGTTTTCATGTCGTAAAACAAAAGTTTAAGAGTATCATCGGGTATGTTCAGTGTGGAACTGCGATAAAACAAAGAGCTAATTCTGTTGGCAACGAGGCCCACGCGTGCGCAGGAGTCCTCTTACATTTACACACAATACTAAAAGCGAGACCCTATTGTTTCCCATAAAAATGATCGCATTACCAAAATTTTAACATCGAAGGTAGTACGATAGCTGGCTGACGCATTTGCACGGACGTCGCTTCTACACATACCGACACCATCGTAATCCATAATACATGAAACAATATGTTATATGAAGGGATTAATATTTACCAATTAGTTTTATGAAATACCTAGTAGGTAGGTACGTAACGTTAAAAAAGAGTAGCCAAACCATAAGGAGTAAAGTANGTGAAGTGTGATTTAGGGTTAGGCTCGATTCACTTGAAACAAAAACAAGATGATCGTTATATTTTGGTTTACTTTCACGAAATACAGTTTTAGGATAAGACCATGGCCGTGATTGTACAATAAATGCATTTCACCAAGAGAAAAAATATGCATTCAGTGACGTTACAAAAACATGACCATTTATTTAGCAGGATATTCTAAATTAAATTAATTTTAAACGCGTCTTAACGATTCCGTGTTTTGTTAATACTAACATTAAATGCTGGAATATGTGAGTATACCAATTTAATTTCCATCAAATAGGTTGAAATTGTTTAAATACTTTCGTCTAAATGTTTTCTGTTGTTAAAAAGTAGTCGGCCTCTAAGTACTGCATACGTAGGTATTACGTACCTACCGACTGGCCTAAATCCAAGGACATGAATAATTTTAGGAGCTGTTTAAAATACTTTTTTATTTTATGGAGAAGAGCCTCTATAAAGTTTTCAACTAAGTAGTGTCTACTCCGTCTTTTTGTCCGTGATCTATGACTGCGCTCGCGCATCAATGTCTTTCTGAGCTACATACTTTATATTCCGCCAGCATTTACTTTTTTAATGAACATCATTTGCTAGAATAGGTAAGCAGGCCATAATTCGCTCCTGACAAACGTCACTCTCGGTTTGAATTGGTAAAACTGTTAGCGCATGTTTAGCATAACCATACTCGTGAAATAAAACATGCATGATGTTTGCAACGTGAATATTTTATTTATTTTATTACTTATACTATCAATCAAATGGTACCTACCTATTTAAAGTTTTAGTAGTTCTAATTTATTACAATCATAAAGTTCTAGATGGACTGGCAATGTAACTACGAGTAGATCTTACCAAAATTAAATTGATCTGACGTGTCTATTATTTTAGTTAAAGGCGGCCCCCATGAAATTGAGCCGAGTTTTTTTACCCCACTCAAAAAGCTACTTGCCTACTTACTTTTTTCCAGCACTTGTGTCACACGTAAATGTCTTTTACTCTACATTGATCGAATTAACAACTACTAGTCATACAAAACATTGGATATATTTTATTCAAAGAAACATGCCTAGACCTCGGTGGACTGGATATGGGTTGAAAGCTGTGCTAGTTAAAAGTTTAGTACCTAGGCCTACACACTTCACAGTAGGTCGAAGTAATCCAATCTTGGTGTTTCGCGTAACCAGCGTAATTGTGGAAACTTTAGTCTGATCGGAGCGTCATCAGCTCGAGTACAGGCATTTAACTCGATCGTCACGCTATCTTGCCAACCTATTCAAGTTGTGCATCCACAAAACATTTACTTCTAAAGAGCGCATACTTGTGTATTGAATTCTAATTCATAGAACTAATGTGTCTGGCTGTATTCACTCATAATTACCGCTCATTACATACATATATTCCTACATAACATGAATTACTTACATGCATAAATAGTCATTATATTCGCTAAGTCAAAATGTCAAAAATTAATAGTTTACTGGTAGTAAAATAACATGTAAGGAAAAGATCATTTATCATTGCAAGTTTTTATATGAAAGCATGAAGTACTTTCAATACATTCAATCGTCAAATTATATTGATTAATCCAGATGTAATATCGATATAAATTCGTGTGGAATTTAAAAAAATCATTCGAAATAATCCACTGAAACTGCTTAGAGCAGCATTTACCGTCTTAAACTTCATAGGATTCCCCATGACTAAACCAAACCTGTTTTCAAATGGCTAACGAAAATTGCTTCTATTTGCGAAGGAAAACTTGAACACACGCATGAGTGTTCAAGTTTTCCCAACCTAACACAAGTTAGGTATAAATTGCGGTACCTGTAAGAGTAAGTAAGTACGTCAATAGAGTTTTACTAAATGCAAGGATATGAAAGTAGGTCTATAAAAATGTATAGTATTTGCTTTTGTAGTCTGCTGCGTGTTTGCTCTGACTAACTAACTATGAAACGGTTGGACTTATTTGGACGAGACTTTCATTGGCACTTTGCTGATGTTTGCTGATTTACACTTTTAATTTACGGTGCAAGAAAATTCCTTTAAATAGTTAACAAAATCCGTATAGGAAGTTACCTAGCAATTAAACATCTTGTTATGTTGTAAATTATACCTATGCATCAGATGACTTCCGCTTAAAAACTGCTCTTAAAGACACATCCTTGTGGTAAGAAGTCAATGTATTTTGCCGACGGCGGCGTTTCGCAGTAGACCCAGAAATCCGCCAGAGCCATTACTTAAAATATTTCAAAATTAATGTGATCGGGATTCGTACTTGAAGTTTTGCGCTCAACGGCTCAAGTGCATCAGTATTTTTAATTTTTCTTTATTCAGGAAAACCACAATTCTTTATATTATAAAATTTACTTAGGTACAGGTTTCAGGTCAATTTAAATTATTATATTTTTTCCGCTAAGTTCCTCCAAGTAGATAGTTGATCAAGTATTACCATTGAATGAATATTATTATGGAAAAAGAGGATAATTAGTGATGTAAATTGAGAAACTTGTCGGGCTAACGCGGACGATGACATTAGTAGGTATGTATCTTTTCCTTGAAATTCCTTGACTTATTTTCTTAAGTTGAGTTGCACCATCTTACTTTAACTTTGACAAACGTCAAAATCTGTCAAACTCCATACAAAAGGCACCGTTTATTGTTATTGTTACGATTAAGGTGGTGCAACTCAGCCTTATTGTGAGAATTCAATGAGTAAAAGTAAAGTGCGCAAACAACTGCCAAACGTGTGTTTGAATGTTCCAATTTTTCTTTTTTTGTAACGCAAAACACTTCTCAAATTAAACTTTTATTGTTGTATTCGGTGCAATCCCAGCTACAATATAACATTCAACACGCACTCGACAGAAAATGCACCGCAAAATGCAACTTTTTTCGTGCTCCACTCCAGCGCATCCAGCGAATAGACAATTTGACCTGGAATGTGAAATTATTTATAACATTTGCAATTCAAAACTCAGATGAATGTAGGTAGGTAGGATCCTGAAGTACAATATTACAAACATCTTTACTCTGTATTTGAGATAACAAAGAATAAATTACATTAATTTATTCGAAGTAACTTATTTTAAAGTACTTAGGCAGTTAATTAGGCAGGTAGGTACTTCTATATCACAAAGCCCTATGTACATAGTAATGAGCACATATAATTTGATTAATAGCTTATTAAAACATCGGTAAACAGTCTTTTGTTTATCGGGCCTGTCCATTGAACGTCTGTCGACTCACTGTTGTTGTCCCCTTACAATACCTAGACCTACTGTACATTCATATGCGCATAGTGAAACACTGTTTTAGTACACGAGTTATCGAAGAGGTCACTTGCTAGCAAGTAAATAAAACATCATTATAGAATCTATACCTAAATGTGTACGTAATGTGTGTACCTATGTGTGTGTATGTAATTGACCATAGCTAAATAAAGTCTGAAAGTTACCCTACAAGCACTGAAACTCCTGTAAATCCAGGAGAGCCCGCCCAGAAAAAGTAGAGAAGTGCCGGGGGGTTTTAAACGCGTCATATAACAGTTTGAATATGTCCACGAGTGCGATACTAAATTTCAATATAGGAGACAGTTCAATAACAGAGATGAAGAATGAGTTTTTGACAACGGCCATCTGCCTGTAGCAAAATTGCCGGAAAAGTTTGTCCTTGTCAAGACCAAATTGGTTCAATACTTATAACGGATATGGTTATTTGCTGAATTGAATTGAGTATTTTGAGATTTCCGATCTCAGAGACTATTCCCACAGTATGTGATGGACGATTGAAAGTGTTGAAACTGCTGTGGTCATTCCAGTAGAACGAATGTGAATCACATCGGTGCTGAAAAAAGTTTAAGATGTCAGTTTTCAGAAGGAATATTTTGTGATCCACCTACAAGCATCGTTTTAACATCGCTTGCGCATTACTGGGAAGAATTTTAATAGGTAAATGATGCCCTTTTATCAATGACTCCCATCGGTTTCGCCATTCCACGATTAGATTGTGATCTCAATGACGTGTTACAAACGTAAAAGTAGTTTTCAGACAAATTTTACTTGGAACAAGTCATTTTAGACCTAAATGCATCATAAACTCATAGGTTTTAGGTGACACAAATTGTAATAGGTACTGAAAGATAGAGGTTACTAAATTACTCTAATTTTAAATTTCCATGTTACATCTAACATAATCTTCTAGCAGCTGTAAGTAGCGCTTCTAGTTAATAAATATTTATAATTTAAAATATGTTTAACATTCGTCAAATAATTAATCACATGGCATGCAAAAATGTGAAACAGTATTTTGAAATCGAATGTATTGCGCGAAAATGTATCTGAAATAACGGTTAGTTAGCATGAAATTCGGAAATAAATAGGTAAGTATCAATTTACTCTTAATTTGTAACTAGCTCTACTATTTTTTTTTCTCCGCAGAAAAATATTTTCGATTTAATTTTACATACTCACGAACAAAAATGTAATCGTAAGAATTTTATTTTCAGTGACATTGAAAAATTATTTCTATTTTTAGCTCCTATATTATTTTAAAATAACGTATGGCACACTACTTAAAGAGATCATTCGGCCTATACCGCCAGTTAAAAAAAATTAACGCGTTGGTGTGTCTATTAGTCTCGAATCATATAAAAGAATTCAACGCAAATCAGGCTCGTCCGCGATTATGACGAAAAATTTTATTATAATATTTTAACAAACGTTGTCTTTTCAGGGTTTAAACTTTTCAGGATTTCCAATGAAACTGGATTTTGTAATTTTTATCTGAGGATTTAATTAAACTTACATAGTATTTAAAATTTAGACAAAAGATACCTTCTACGTTATGACAAATGACCGATTAGCTTAAACTTAAACGCATAAACTTAGTCTTCTCGTACCTACGTACGAGTAGTTGGTAGGCAAGTAGTGTTGCCATACAAATTTAAATTTAATACAAAAAAATAAAATGAAAATTCGGGTATTGTTCATGGAACTCGCATGAGCGATTCCGATTCGATATTAAATTAAATAATAATTTTAGCTATTAAAAAATTTAGATATTATTTAAAAGAATTTTTAAAATGCAATTCGACTAGGTTAATTAAGTTAGAGTGCACGAAGAATGCAGTGGACTGTGGATCTACCTACCAGTTTCATTTAGGCTACAATACTTATCTTATTCGCCCGTTATAAAGCAATACTTTCGTTAGCAATTAATCTACGATTAATGACGTCGGCATAGCTGGTGAGTAAATAATGCAATTTACTGGTAGAAAGCCATGCAGTAGAGGGGCTTAACGTGTGATCCGCGAACCGCGCGGGTCTGCGCGCGCGCAGTGGGCCGGCGGAGAGCGCGCGAGCGGCAGTCCTCATCCCGCGCCACCGCCCGCGCCCGCGCCCGCGCCCGCTCCGCGCGCCGCGCCGCTGCTGACCCCGGTATATAGCGCCGCCGCCGCCGGCACTCGCACGCAGTCACGAACCCGCGATCTTCCGTGCACTCGCGAGACACGCGCTCACCGACCACTACAGATACTACACTTACATTTAACAGTGAAAGCGGTTTATCAGTGACAATGGAAGACTGGGGATACACCTGTGAAAACGGTGAGTTCAGTGTTCATTGCGCGGCTGACGCCTGAGCGGCACTTATCCTCATGGACCGGTTTGTTTACTTATATGTTTACATCGGCGCACGTGACCCCGAGACCGAGTCAATAAAATTCAAGTTTTTTGCGAACGATTATTTTATCATCAAGGAACAGCTACGAAAATCACCATCAAAGTCAAGTAATTTTCGAAGTTTTTTTTATGTCAAAACTACAACATTTACATTTACGTAGGTAGTAATTAACAATGAAAATATTCTAATGACGTATCCATGTACATTCATAAATTTTCAGTTACGTATACATAACACTTCAGCGTTTTGTTTCATGAATTAGTCACTCTTATCAGTAGTAACAAAACTGTCAACTATACACCTGTTGTCTTTACATAGTTTAATGTATGAATGAATTACTATTTTATTGTAAATATAAATAACACATTTTCAAAACATAGAAAATTTCTGAAAAAACTAAATCAAAATTGTTGTAACTACAAATGTCCAAAAACGATCAAGAAATGTATTTGAATAGTTACAGTTACAAATAAATCGTTCGATTATGAAGAAGCAAAATAGCTATCATTATCTACGGTTAATTAAGTAAGTAGGTACTAAGAACACTTAATTGCAATTATTAAGAATTCTACGATGAGATATTGATGCAAGCAAAGGCAAGAATGAATGGAGCCGTATATAAGGCAATGAGTTATTTTAAAATGTACTTAGGTACAATACAATACTTCAAAATGCATTTGAGATAATAAGAGAAGTCTTTTAATTACCGCTTATCCCATCCACTACTATGCAAAATATAAATAACACGCTTTTATGATCCTGATAAGGTAATAATGAGCCATAAACTACACTGTATTTCCACGTAGAAACAAAGATGCTTTACTTAAATTAATAAAATGAAACCCCTTCTAGATAAACATTTTATCATTGAGAGTTCGACTAAGAAATGTAAATATTAAAAGTGTCAATTAGCTAAATACTTAGCGGTTTTAACAAACAAACTCGAAATGTATCTAAGTAGGTAATGTGTCAAGTTTAAAATGGTGCCAACAAGTGTAGAGTGTAGTGTAGTGTTACCCAAAATTCTTTCAGCCTACCTAGGCTGAAAGAATTTTGGGTAAGACAACCTAGCTAGGGACGCTTAATGTTAAATATGTCGTTAATATCTTGAAAATGTGTCTATCTGTTCAGGTAGGACAATAACAATAGTTGACAAAAAAATTAAAACAGACTCCAAAAAACCTGCACTAAAAAAATACATACAGCCGAACATATAACCTCCTCCTTTTTTGAAGTCGGTTAAAAATGGATAATAATAATGTAATTGACATTCTAAGCATTGAATGTCAGTTATTCGAAAAAAATAAATAAAAGAAACTACCTTACCTACTAACATAAATAGTTAAACATATTATATCCTACTTATTTTGAACATAGCTATGCTTATAGACTTATTTTCATAGAATTACTGAACAAGTCCTACCTACCTAGTCAAGCAAATTCTGTAACGACTTAATGATCTAATTAAAAAAAAATGACAACCAAAGCTTTTGAAAAATGAAGGTTTTTGTGATTTAAAAATACGAGATGACTAATGTTAATGTATAATACAATACGTACATAGAAAATTTGAATAATTGCAGTCAGGCTGGTCACTTTAACGTCCGAACAAGACAATCAGTGTCTAATGACGGCCGTAAACGTATGCATTAGTGACAGCTTAGAGTCATCCTTATTATTCGAGTGACCATATTCGTTATGTTAAAAATACATTTCTGAATAAAAATAATGTTTCAAACAACTGACGCACCAATGCAAATGGTGTTTCTAAAGCTAAGTTAAATACAAATTATAAATTTTGTACTCGTAATATAACTTAAGACAACTGGGCCTAACGGGTAAAAAAGGTTTAAAAACAATAAAATGCCCATGATGCCATGCCATTTCATGTCCTCTACGAAAAATACGAAAATGTTCAGGCTACCACTTATATTCCATTTGCCTCAAAGTAATTTTAATTCGGTTTTGTACCTACTCCAGATAGCGACCACTTGGCCAAGCTATGAAAAGTAAATGGACATAAAGGGGCATTGAAATGGTTTTTATCAGTCGACACTATTCACACCAAAAACTAATCACTGTCCCCTGATGCCTGCCTGTTTGATAAATCAAAAGGTCTAAGACTAAAAGTCTCCATGGTCGTTAGATTGTTTAAATATTGCTTAATGTGGAATGTTTTTCATTAGTTAATGTAATAGAATATTAAATACTTCTGTTTCGTGTTGATACGAGTATGTTGAACTCGTACTCGTCATTAAAATGTCATGAATTATCATTATTAAATGAGATGAATCGATGATACGTAAAGTAGTTAGTTACAGCTTCTTTGCAAGGAGTTCAACTGACCCAATGCAATGCCCTCTGATAAATACAGTTACCGGTACTAAAAATAAATGACGATAAACTGGAATCACTGTGCACATCCTAAAGGGCCAGTGGCCTCCACTCAATAAGGACTTTGTCAAAAAATTACAATGTTGTTCGCATTTAACTGAAAGAACAAAATTAAACTGAATGCCGAATGTTGTATATAAACTTGAAAGTCTTGAAACCGACTGAAGCGACAGGTTATAACGAACTCAAATTCTTCTGAGTCAATATATTTTTAAGCAGTATTTTCCCTGAAAATGTTATCAGTTCATCACAACACTCAACTTGCTCGTAAACTTTAAATTAGCATGTGCAAGCGACCATCCAGTTCTTTTTCCTTAAAACGTGCATTTATGTCGTTTAACGTTACGACTGCAAGTAATATTCGTAACAAATGTCTACATGTCAGTCCACAAACAATAAAATCTGTAGTTTCATTATATGCAGGCACTAAAAACTTATTTACACTTACTAAAGTAAGTTTTAAAATGTTTTATTTACACAAAGAATATTGACATGAACCAAGGTTCGGATATACGGTAGGTATTTAGGAAAGTCTGTTGTAAAGACAAATGTAACCAAATTCCTAGAGTTAAATATAGAGAGTTTGAGGATCGCATTCTGAAAATGTCTGTAAAAAACTCAGCCAGGTCCATTTTATAAACTCTAATTAATATTTTAATGAAGGCGCTGTACTAATAGCCTACCACAGCTATGTTGCCTCAATACCTACTTAGATATGGATTATTTTTTGGGGCATTTCGTCTAATATCCCTATTAGTAGAGCACAAAAACGCTTCATTAGATTTATTTTGATTAATCATAATAATTTGCATGCTTCGTCTGTTACAATAAATTACTGAAAAATACAAAAACAAATATGCAAGAAGAAGTATGTCCTTTAGCAAGATACGATATGTATTGACGAAATATATGTATAGGTACGTATTATGTTATTATAGAATGAAAATGAATACATGTTTAATACATTTTTCCTCCCCAAAACACTCAGCCCAATCCATCTCCTCAAGTAGGTATGTTATGAAGAGCCTCCATTTAAGAAATGATATTGTCTACACGTGCCCCACAGCTTTGTTTTCCATAAAAAGAAAACACAGTTACTAAGTCTACCAATTAAATTATTTTCCATTATCGTCGAAACAAGGAGACCGTTACTATAAATGTAAGATTAAAGTATATTTTCTAAGGAGATTCAGGATCAGTGAAATGTGACCTGAAAACTAAAATGAAACCTATTGAGTTTACTAAAAGATGTTGAGCTCTTTTCCTTACCAATTAATAATGAATGCAATCTAAAGATCCTTTACACTAGTTTTGAATAATATATTCGTTCATCTTGATTGGCCACTCTAATGACTCAAGATTGTTTAGAGCTAAATATTTGTTTGTAAACCTAGCCTGAAACTAAAGAAGCCTAACGTTAAACAATACTGCTAAGTACACCTACTGCACGCAGGAATGCACTATCTGTGTGAAAATGACGGCGACAATTGCCCTTAATAAGATTCCGGTCTCGTGATGAGAAACATGTAGTATCACTTGATTCCAGTTAAGAATCTGAAGAACAATAAAAGTTTTGAATGACCATATAGATAGGGTATGGTTTCCTTGTGCAATTGGTGAGGATATTGCTGAGAGGGAAATCCCATCTCTTACAAACAAGGTACATTAATTATCGAAAGTTCTTTTTCCTATAATTAAAACTGAGTTTATCTAAGTGAAGTAGGGTCTAAAAACAGTCCCAGAGGTTTTGTTGGAGGCAAAACTTTTCAAAACTATTTTTTTAAACCCAAGTGAATCTGCACGCAAACGTAGTCTGTGTTTAACTCATTGAAGCTGCAAATTATTAACAAGTAGATATTAGTCAAACGGAAATTGAGAATTTAAACTGTAAGCTGCTCTCATGAAAATAACTCACATTTGCAGCCCAAATATTTACGCCAAACGCCACTCAACACGTAACGCTTATAGATTTGTTTTGAAAATAGTAGTTACAACTAAATTTTGTTTACTATTCTTCTAAATAAAATACAGCAATCGATTGTAACTGTAACTATTACTTACCCACTGTATTTAGACGAACCATATCGGTCCCTTCAATTAGACGTGATCTGCCGCTGTCATGTCGCCTGTCTTATCTAAGTACATGAGTAAATTCTTCAATGAGCGTTCCTCGATTAATGTCTCTGTAAATCTCTACAGGAATGACCAAGTACAAATAAATAAATTGATCAATACATCGGTAAAGTACCGGATCCAAAAGCAAAAAACAGTAAGATCGAAGATATTTATGTACTAATAGCTTCGTTAGACGCATACAATACAAAATGCGTTATTCTTGATGTTGCACAGTTCGCGTGTAGATAATAGTAGGTTGTTATTGTTATGGGTCAGTACTATAGGCCAGTAATGAATGAGACATACACGCGGAGGCGGACCCGTTACCTCTAAAAACACAAATTACTTTTAGGACGACGACTTCCGTTCCGGTAAGTTAAGATTCAAAGTCAAGTACAGTCAGGTGACCGTGCGC